TTCTTGTTCTGTTTTTGAGACAGGGTCTCACTCTGTCACCCAGGCTGGATACAGTGGCTTGATCTCAGCTCACTGCAACCTCTGCTTCCCAGGCTCAAATGATTCTCCAGCTTCAGCCTCTTGAGTAGGTGTAACTACAGGCATGTGATAGCATGCTGGGCTAGTCTTTTAATTTTTTTAGAGCCTTGCTTTGTTGGCCAGGCTGGCATCAAACTCCTGGGCTCAAGCAATCCACCTGCCTTGGCCTCCCAAAGTGCTGAGATTACAGGTATGAGCCGCTGTACCTGGCCCCAGTTGGGATTTTGCTTGGGGTTCCATTGAGTCTATGGATCACGTTGGGGAGTATAACCAATCTTAATGTTAAATCTTCCAATTCATAAACATGGGATGTCTTTTTTTAATTTAGGGAAATCCAAGTAACTTAAATCACTATAATTTAGAGATGAGGGATTCAGGGGGTTCTGCCCGTGCATTTCTGGAGGAGAATATTTGGTACACCAGAGAAACTCAGTAACTATTGGTGGGATGAATGAATAAATCTTGATAGTATTCATTTTAAAGATGATGCCCTTGAGTTGCTGATGGAGAATAGGTGTTGGAATACTAAGATGTGTGTGTGTGTGTGTGTGTGTGTGCGTGTGCACGCGTGCGCGCACGTATTTATGTTCCAGATTTTCCTAACCTTTCATAGTGAGCTGAGGATATGGTTCCTGGGCTGATAAAATCAACAAGTGGCCTTGGTGTTGGGGATGCTGGTGTGTAAAATGACTGTCTGGGATGCCATCACTTCATTTGCTGGGATAGGGGTAGGACAGAATGTGGAAGTTAGAATTGGTGTTTCAGGCTAGGCACAGTGACTCATGCCTGTAATCCCAGCACTTTGGGAGACTGAGACGGGCAGATCATTTGAGGCCAGGAGTTCGAGACCAGCCTGGCCAACATGACAAAACTCCATCTTTACCTTAAAAATACAAAAAGTAGCCAGGTATGGTGGCTATTTAGGAGTCTGAGGCACAAGGATTTCTTGAACCCGGGAGGCAGAGGTTACAGTGAGCCAAGATCGCACCACTGCACCCCAGCCTGGGTGACACAGACTCTGTCTCAAAAAAAAAAAAGAATTGGTTTTTGAAACTTTTGAAACTTGGGGTTGCACCCAAAAGATACCAGGACAGAGGAAGCTGTGTGCCGAAAGGAGAGAGCTATGGTTGACTCACCTTCCTTTTTATTCCATTTGTCCCCTTTTGTGTCACTGTTTTCTGTATTCTGCCATCACGTTTCCTGGTTGGGTCTTCAGAGTCCCAGTTGGACTTTTTAATGGAGGCCTCCGAGGTCTGTCTCACCTGTGTGTTTTTCAGTGGGCTTCATTAGGATCCCGTGTTGCCCCATTGCTGAGCCAACTCTTGATGAGCCAGCCGGGGGCCACTGCTGAAAGCAGAAGTCTCCCTGGCCTGATTTGGCAGCGGCTAGACAGGGTCACATCGAGGTCTTGAAAGACCACAGCTTCTCGCACCTCTTCCTTTGGGACGCTGTCTGGTGCGAGCTCTGTGATTTTCCCAGATGTCTCAGCCACCAGTGAGGCCCAGACAAGTTGTTTTCCACAGGTTGGATGAGAAGGCGCTTTGGAAGGTGCGGGCAAATGGGCGTGTTTTGCAGTGACATATGAGCATCGAGACTCAGACTGGATTGGCCCAACAAAAGTTTTTGCTTGCCCAGACACTGTCCTCGGGGCAAGGAGGCCAGAGGCACTCAGTGGCTGTTGATACCTGGCACTCCTTTGAACTCCTGGAATTTTTTCTGTTTTTCACCAGGGAAGCTCGTCTTTAGACTCTCCTGCTCCAGGGGTCTGGTTTTGTCCTGGGAGGTGGCCCACACGCCGGCCACTTCACACTTGAAGAAGACGCTGGGCAGTGTTGCCTATGTTCCAGGTATTTGAGGAGTGAGCTGGTAACAGGACACCTGTCCTTTGGAGGGGTGGAATCAGAAAGTGCTGTCCTGGGCTGTGACAACAGGGAGAAATCTTTTTGGGTTTCTGCTTCTCTGGACCTCTTGTTGGCACTCTTCACACTAAGGCATTGTAGCAGTAGCTGGGAAGCCCTTCTGGCAGCATGTGGCCATTCCAGTGGGTCTGTGGGCCCCTTGCTGCATGTTGCATATGCATTTGCTATGGTTTAGCGTGTTCAGAGCACAACTCCGGAGTCCACACATCCATGCTGGTTCCAGGACCACAGGCAAATTACTGGCTTCAGTCTCCCCATCTGAAAAATGGGGGCATGGAGGCATCCTCCACAGGGCTGTTTCCGGGAAAGTTAGGTAATATCGGTAAACTGGTGGCCACGGTGCCCGCAGATGGGGTGCTCTGGTAATCCCCACCCTCATGTGTCGTGGCTATCATCTTGGTCGTCAGCTCTACCTCACCTCGCCTTGGTTGCTCAGCTTCAGGTTCACAGTCCCTCGTGTGCCGTTCTCAAATACAGAACGCTCTGAAAACTGATCTTGTTTTATTTCCACATGGGTGGTCAGACCTGACCTGGACGGACGTGTGCCGTGAGTGGCAGACCTGACCTCCAAAGGTGCTAATCATAGTGGGACTATGCGAGTACGTTGGGGACATCCGGCCATATTTGTAAGGAAGGGTTTCTTTCTTTCTTTTTTTCTTTTTGTTTTATTTTGTTTTTTGAGATGGAGTCTTGCTCTGCCTCCTAGGCCGGAGTACAGTGGATGATCAGAGCTCACTGCAACCTCAAACTCCTGGGCTCAAGCAATCCTCCCACCTCAGCCTCCCAAGTAACTGGGTCTACAGGTGCTCACCACTATGCCCGGCTAATTAAAAAAATTTTTTTTTGTTTCACTATGTTGCCCAGGCTGGTGTTGAACTCCTGACATCAAGTGATCCTCCCACCTCAGCCTCCCAATGTGCTGGGCTTACAGGCGTGAGCCACCGTGCCTGGCCCCCTTTGCTGCTTTGGGCAGTCCCTTTCCCCAGGTGGCTGGTGGCGGCCAGCTTGCCTGTGGGCAATCCTGCAGTCCAGGGCTTGCCCTCCCTGTGACCAGGCCTCTGGTTGGGCTGCCCCAGAGCAGAGGGCAGGCATGACGGAAGGTCCTGAGCAGCTAGGGAAGAGCAGCGGCAGGTGAGGGTGGTAGAATCGGGAAGTGCCTCCCTTTCCTCTTTGGGGTTCACAGCAGGTTGAGCAGGATGGAGGCCCAGCGCCCCAGTGCTTCCTGAGGGGCCACTCAGGCTGATGGGGCTTCATAGCTTCTTGAACGCTGCAGGAACGTGAATCGGAGGGAGGGATTTGCTTAGGTGTTTACAGCAAAGGGGGTGGAATGCGAGGCTGTGGGCTTTCTACAAGGACCGAGACACTGGAGAAGAAAGTTATGATGGGGAGGCTGTACTGGAGAAGAAAGGGAGGCCGTTTTTCTTCCTATGCAGTTGGAAGTTTCTTGGAAGCCCCTAGGGTGCTCAGGGGTGCTGCGTGTGTTGTGGGAGGGGGCGTCCCTGTGACGACGACCTTCTTCTCCATTGGAGTGGATGAATAGTAACCGCTCTTTTGGGCCGGTATGCTCCTGAAAGGATGGGGTTTTGTTTGGGGATTCAAGTATGACAAACCACTGAAATGAAAAGGGTGGGACTCTGGAGCAAAGGGTGTTCAGTTAGCTGAAAAGGGGCTTTAGGTGTTAGATGCCGGTTAGGTCAGCTGGTTTCCAGGGTGGCCATGTGTCTCCCTGACAGGGACTTCATTTCTCAGCCAACTCGGGCTCTCCAGAAAGATGCCACAGACAAAAGCTCTCCCATCCTGGTCCCTCCCACCACAGGTCCCAAGTGGACAGGGGACCTCTGTGTCCTCGGCAGCTAGCATAGGGCACCCCCCGTGCATCCTGGGTCTGCAGGAGACTCTGAGGCTGGGAACCAGAGGGCAGGGGCTGCTGTCCTGTTCCTAGCTTAGCTACTAGCCCAGCTCTCTGTCCACCTACTGTCTCTATTCTCTGAGTTCCAGGGAAGGGAGCATTTGGAGCCCATCTAGGGAAGGTCTGAGTCATCTGGGACCTAAGGTTCCTATCCCATCCTCTGGGGGCTCTGGTTTGTTGAGTGCATTCTGCACGCTGAGCTGGCTCGTAGAGGTGCAATGGTGGACAAGACACCTGAGGCGAGTGCCCTCTTGCACCCCATCCCAAAGGGAAGGACGGCATAGGAACAGATGATTGCCATTGTGAATGCCCTTACACTGCTGGGAGGGGCCCTGAACTCCTGGGTGGGCAGGAGGGGCTTCCAGAAGAAAGCAGCCTGTAAACTGGCCAGGTGGGATGAGTGGGCGTCAGCCAAGTGGCCTGGGGGGTGGGGTTGGCCTTCCGGCCGGGGGGAACAGAGACCGACGGTGTGGCCCTTGCGGTCTTTTCTGGGGAGCAGACGAAGATGGGAAAGGTGGGCAGGGTCCGAAGCTGTGCATGCGGGCCACGGAAGGTCTCGAGCGGGGTGCTGCGGCAGAAGCTCGCGCCCTCTGTAGTCCTCTCCTAGAGCTGCCGTAACGGGTGGCTTAAAGCAACGGGCCTTTCTTCCCTCCCAATTCTGGAGGCCAAGAGTCTGAAGTCAAGGTGTGGGCTGGCGGGCTGGACGGGCGCTGCGGGTTCTAGGGGAGGGTCCTTCCCCGTGCCTCCAGCTCCTGGTGTGTGCCGCCATCCTTGGCACTTCTTGGCTTGTAGACAGGGTAGTGGTCTGTGGAAGGCCTATGTCTTCACGCACGTTCCCCCCATGCGTGTCCGTCTTTGTGTCAAAATGCCCCCCTTTCTTAAGGACACCAGGTATTCTGGCTAGAGTTCACCTGAAAGACCTCATTTAACCTGAGGGACGACCTCTGCAAAGCCCCATCTCCAAATCACGTCACACTCTGAGGCATGGGGTTTAGGGCCTTTATCATGTTTTTCTGGGGTATGCAGTTTGCTCCCTAACACCGTTTACGAGGGTCTGGCCTCCCCATCTGACCAGCCCTGTCTCTTCCCTGCAGAACCGGGCTGTGGGTCGGCCCAAGGGGAAGCTGGGCCCGACCTCCGCGGTGAAGTTGGCCGCCAACCGGACAACTGCAGGAGCTCGGCGACGCCGGACGCGATGCCGCAAGTGCGAGGCCTGCCTGCGGACCGAGTGCGGAGAGTGCCACTTCTGCAAGGACATGAAGAAGTTCGGGGGCCCCGGGCGCATGAAGCAGAGCTGCATCATGCGGCAGTGCATCGCGGTGAGTGCAGCCCCGCCCAGCCCTGCGCTCCGTCCCGGCCCTGTGCCGGCCTGCGTTTCTGACTGCTGCTTCCTCTGGCCGCCGCTCCGCACAGAGAAACCTCCGCACAGAGAAACCGGGGCTTGGACTCCCTGAGAGCTGTACGGGAAGGCGCCGGCCGCTTCAGAGGCTCAGGCGTCCTGCTCCTTCCCTCCCAGGGTGCCTAGGTACTTTGAAGTTGCCGCCATTAAAGATGACAGGCAGCCTGTCCTGTCTGCGACCCCGTGGCCAACATTACGGTACAGTTGGTGACGGTTCTGCGCCCGCCCTTCCTTCCGGTCCTGCCTTCAGAGTCATAAGTCTGGGTGAAAGGTCAGCGCCACACCTGAGGGGGCTGCCCCCAGCAAGGAGTGATTTATGGTGCTGAGGAGCCGCACCAGGGAGAGCCTGGCCTGGCCTGCCCTGCCCCTCCGCACCGCCTGGCCTCAGCTCTGGCAGTGGCCTCGTGCCTCTGGTCTCCCCCCTAGACAGGGCAGCAGACGTGGACTGGACTTCCGCAATGGGGTGAAGTCGCAGAGTTTGTCCATGAAGCCCACTGTACACACACCCACATACTCTGCCTTCCCCAAGGCGCTGCTGGGGGTGGGGTGGCGGTACTCCTTGTGGAGGAGGCATCTCCCAGTCCCCGTGGAAAAGCAGGCTTAGCTGGAGGGACAGGATTCTTCGGTCCTGGTGCACTCATCTACAGGCCCAGCCTGGCATAGGGTGAGCCTTTCCTCTTTGGCTGCCGATGCCCCCCAGGCCCAGATACCTCACCTCTCTCCTTCCACACATATTTCTTGTGTTTTGGTTTTTCAGATTGTGGTCAAAAATTTTGACCACATTTTCAAGTATGCAATACAGCATTATTAGTATATGCATATTTTGGGGAAGTTGATCCCTAGAACTTTTTCGTTTCGCCAAATGGAAACTCCACACCCATTGAAGCGTTGCCCCTGTTTCCCTTCCCTCAGTCGAGGCAGCCACCATTCCACTTTCAGTTTCTAAGAGCTAGACTTCTCTGGGGGCCTCATGGAAGTGGAATCATGCAATAATTGGCTTTCTGTGAGTGGACTGCCTTGTTTATAGCCCTGAGCAGAATGTCCTCAGCGTTCATCCATTTTGAAGCATATGACAATTTCCTTTTTTTTTTTTTTAATGGCCAACTAATACTCTACTGTGTGTTTATACCAAATTTTTTTTTCTGAGACAGACTCTCGCTCTGTCACCCTGGAGTGCAGCCGTGTGATCTTGGCTTACTACAACTTCCACCTCCCTTGTTCAAGTGATTCTCCTGCCTCAGCCTCCCGAGTAGCTGGGATTACAGGCGCCTGCCACCACACCCAGCTAATTTTTGTGTTTTTAGTACAGATGGGGTTTCACCATCTTGCCCAGGCTGGTCTTGAACTCCTGACCCCAAGTGATCTGGCCAACTTGGCCTCCTAAGAGTGCTGTGCTCACAGGCATGAGCCACCACTCCTGGCCCAGATTGTCTTCGTCCATTCATCTGTTGGTACTCGTTCAGGTTGCTTTCACCTCTTGCCTATTGTGAATAGTGCTGCAGTGAACATACCTCTTTGAGATGGTGTTGTGAATTCTTTTGGATATACAGCTGACCCTTGAACAACACAAGGGTTGGGGGTACCAGCTGACCCCTGTGCAGTTAAAAATCTGCAGGTAACTTTCAACTCCCCTAAAACTTAGCTGCTCTTAGCCTATTGTTGACCAGAAGCCTTACCAGTAACAGAAACAGTCCGTTAACACATATTTCATATGTGATATGAATTATAATACTGTATTCTTACAATAAAGTAAGCTAGATAAAAGAAAATATTATAAAGATCATAAGGAAAACATATTTATCGTTCGTTAAGTGGAAGTGGATCATTGTTAAAGGTCTTCATGCTCATCATCTTCACGTTTCGAAGGCAGAGGAGGAGGGGTTGGTCTTGCTGTCTCGGGGTGGCAGAGGCAAAAGAGATGGAGGAGGTAGAAGGGGAGGCAGGAGATGCAGGCACACTCGGTATAAATTTTATTGAAAAAAGTGAATATAAGTGAACTCACACAGTTCAATCCTGTGCTGTGGGCTTGCTGAGTCACATGCTATTTCTATTTTTTAACTTTTTGAGGAACCTGTATTGTTGGCCACAGCAGCTGTGCTGTTTTACATTCCCACCACGGGCGCACAAAGGTTCCTGTTTTTCTGTATCCCCACCAACATCTGTTATGTTAAGGGGTTTTTGTTTGTTGCTTTTTTTTTTTTTTTTTTTTTTAATTTACTTTCTTTTGAAACAGAGTTTCACTCTTGTTGCCGAGGCTGGAGTGCAGTGGCATGATCTCGGCTCACTGCAACCTCCACCTCCCTGGTTGAAGCGATTCTCCTGCCTCAGCCTCCCGAATAGGTAGGATTACAGGCACCGGCCACCACACTGGGCTAATTTTTGTATTTTTTAGTAGAGACAAGGTTTCCCCATGTTGGCCAGGCTGGTCTTGAACTGCTGACCTCAGGTGATCTGCCCGCCTCGGCCTCCCAAAGTGCTGGGATTACAGGCGTGAGCCACTGCATCCAGCCAGTTTGTTTGCTTTCAGTAGCCATCCTAATGTGTATGAGGTAGCATCTCACTGTGGCTTTCATTTGCATTTCCCTAACGCTTAGTGATGTTGAGCATCTTCTTATGTGCTTATTGGTTGTTTATCTGTCTTCTTTGGAGAAATGTCTGTTTGAGTCCTTAGCCCATTTGAAAGTGGTTTCCTTTTTTGAGTTGGAGTCTCACTTTGTTGCCCAGGCTGGAGTGCAGTGGTGCAATCTTGGCTCACTGCAACCTCTGCCTCCCAGGTTCAAGCACTTCTGCTGCCTCAGCCTCTCAAGTAGTTGGGATCACAGGCGTGTATCACCACACCAGCTATTTTTTGTATTTCTGGCAGAGGCAGGGCTTCACTCTGTTGGTCAGGCTGGTCCTGAACCGCTGACCTCAGGTGATCCACCTGCCTCAGCCTCCCAAAGTGCTGAGATTACAGGTGTGAGCCACCACACCCCGCCTAAATTGGTTTTCTTTTGGGGGTTTTTGTTGTTGAGTTAGAGAACTTCTTCATATGTTTTGAATATTAACCCTTATCAGGTCTCTGGTTTGCAAGGATTTTCTCCCATCCTGTAGATTGCCGTTTCACTCTGTCAGTTCCTTCTTTGCTGCAGAAGTTTAGTTTCACTGCTTGTGCTTTTAATTGGTCCCCAAACCCCAGGACATTTCCACAGATTTCAGGGAATTTGTGAGCCTTCCTGAAATTAAATGCATTTTTGTCTGTATGCATGCATGGATGTACATTTTTTGGAGAGAGGGTCCATGTGACCCATTGGATCCTATCGAACTTAAAAGCGCTTGTCTATAGCGCTTTTTTATAGGGTTTTTAAATGGTGTCACCTAAAACTCACTGTGCACCAGCAATAAACCCACGGCTGTCTTTTCTTCTTTGGCATGACACTTTCTCCCACCCCCAGTGTGCTGGGCCCAGTTATAGGAAACCTGTCTCGGGTGCCACCTTATCCTTGCAGCTCTGGTGCCTGGCGCAGGGCATGCTGGTTGAAGGAAACCCCATTTTTCTACGTCTCCTACTGTCTTCAGCCTGACATGGCGTCTGGGACTAATAGCAGATGCAGGCTTTGCCTGACCCTTCGGGTGCTTCTTACTCTTCTCCCAGCCCTTCTGCTCTGCGAGGGCACTTCCCACGCATTACCCACCTGTGATATATGCAGGCCCACCGGTCTTCCTCTTCTGGCCCCTCCCTTTGCTCCGCCCCTGGGGCTGCCTCTGTAGCTTCCTCCCCTCTTTACCATGTCCCTGCTGGTGCCCAGTGTTGTGCCGGTGTTGTGCAGTCTCTTCCCCTCCCCCCACTTTCCCATGGCCCCCAACAGTCCCGCCACTCTCTGCAGGAGCTTCACCTTTGGTGATACCTCCCATCCTGCCACCTGGCTCAGAGCCAGCTCTGCCATCTGCCCCACCCCACCACAGACCTTCTTCTTGCCGTGTGGGCTGTGTCTCACCCTGTGCCCCGCACTGCAGTCTGGTCCCCAGCCGTCCACTTTGGCCCAGCCTGCTCTGTGCAGGTTGCTATGTCGTCATTCACCTCGAGACCCCACTGCCTTCCCCACTTGGCTTCTCTCCACCCTGTCCTCTGAGCCCTCCAGAAATCAGCCTCTGCTGCTTCTGATAACTCTTGAACATGACTTTTCCATGCTTTCTTTGGATTTCAACAACTTAAGTCTTTGTCTTCCCAAATAGCTCATGGGGAGCAGCCGTCTCCCTCACTTCCGTACCCCTAGGACCTTGCTTCAGGCCGTGACAGTGTGCGTTTAGTATTTGTTGAAGGAACGATGACTGCCTTGCCTTCTGTGTCCTATTCATTAGAATTCAAACATTTGTGCCATTTCATCAAGTCTTCTTCACTTACCAGTGGTGTGTATATCCCAGCCTGCTTGAAGCTTCTTTGCGCAGCCTGGGCAACAGAGCGAAAGTCCGTCTCAAATAAAAAAAAAGAAAGAAAAGAAATTTTAAACTGAGTTTGGTGTGAAAGAACTTTAGCTAAAAGAAAAACATAAATTAAAACTTACATATATATGTATTTAGACAGAATCTGGCTCTGTTGCCCAGCTAGAGTACAATGGTGTGCTCATGGCTCACTGCAGCCTCTACCTCCTGGGCTCAAGTGATCCTCTCACCTCAGCCTCCCAAGTAGCTGGGACTATAGGCATTCACCACTATGCCCAATTAATTTTTGTAATTTGTAAGGACAGGGTTTGCCACATTGTCCAGGCTAGTCGCAAACTCCTGGGCTTAGGCAGTCTGCCTGCCTTGGCCTCCCAAAGTCCTGGGATTACAGGTATGTACTACCATGCCTGACCAAGAAATGCTTTTTAGATTTTAAATTTTTCTTAAAATAACAAGAAAGCCAGTGACATGTTAATAGAAATAACATATTTTGGCCGGTCACAGTGGCTCACACCTGCAATCCCAGCACTTTGGGAGGCCGAGGTGGGAGGATCACTTGAGGCCAGCCAGGAGTTTAAGACCAGCCTGGCCAACAGGCTGAAACCCCCATCTCTACTAAAAATACAAAAATTAGCCAGTGCACTTGTAGTCCCAGCCACTCAGGAGGCTGAGGCGGGAGAATTGCTTGAACATGGGAGGTGGATGGAGGTTGCAGTGGGCGGAGACCATGCCACTGCAGACCAGTCTGGGCAACAGAGCAGGACACCGTCTCAAAAATAAATAAATAAAAAAGAAATAACATATTTTTATGAGAAATAATCAAATTTTCCAAAACAAAAATAATAGGAAGAATGGCATTGTTTTATGTCTTTGTGAATCTCTTTTATGTCTGGTTCATTAGAAAAGACCTGGTATTGCCAGGTGCGGTGGCTCATGCCTGTAAACCCAGCTACTTTGGAGACTGAGGCAGTACAATTGCTTGAACCTGGGAGGCGGAGGTTGCAGTGAGCTGAGAGGCAACAGAGCAAGACTCCGTCTCCAAAAAAAAAAAAAAAAAGACCTGAAATTTTAATATCTGCTTCTGTGTTTTGTCTATTCTGATATGTTGTTCTGTAGGGAGTATGAGGAAAATTCAGCCTCACACAGATGCACTAGTTGGAAAAGGGAGGAGTACTTTAATAGCTTTTTTGATAATTGTGGATATTCTGATACTCAACTAGAACTCAACAGGGGTTTTTTTAAAGGTTAGTTGCAATGTGGAATCTGAAACTGTATCAATGAGCTCTTCATACTGTTACATTGAAAGTCATCAGCCTGCCTTGCCCTTTGAGCAGCTCATTTGCACCAGCCTGATGTTGTAACACCATGCATTGGTCATCTGGGAAATATTGGCCCCCTGAGTTAGGCAGATATTCCAAATATTGGCACATGACATAATATTTTAAAAATCACATTTGTTAATATGATCACTGATCTTATCAGAAAAGTCTTTCAGTATTGGGAAGCTGTGCAGATTATGGTGACTCATGTAAGTTTTCCAAAAGTTTAATTTTCATTCAGAAACTTGAATTTTTGTCATCTGCAATGAATGCTGTCAGTTATTTTTCTAGAAATGACAAGGTCACTTCTTTGATGTTCACAAAAATACACCAATGCCCAGGGGGTTTCTGTCAGTCATTCCTTTAAGTAAAAAATAATCTATGGAGGAAGTGGCCATTTCAGCTCACAGCTCACAGTCTCGAGTGCCTTTCCTTTGGTACACGTCACCTGTGTGCAGGGGCACTTTACACATACTTCTTATTGTCACAAAGCATGTGAAAAGGATATGTACTCAAGGGGAAGGTTTTCATCAAGTAATTTTTCATCAGGGATATTCTTAGATGAAACTGGTGATCTTTTTAACAAGCCTGTGGTCATGAGTCCCTCTGTGGCTGCTGGTGCAGCTAGGGGCCTTGCCTTGACTGGTGCTGAGGGGCCAGCAGGTTCATCCAACAGTACAAATATCAACACTGTGCAAAAGGCAAATCACATCTGTTATTCCAAAGACAGTTCTTACCTCGTAGCCTCTCTGTAAAGGTCTTGGGAGCCCCACAGTCCATGGTATGTGCCTTAAATACCCACTGGTGAGGTGCAGCCTCATCTCATTTGCATGGATCTGGGCTGGGTTCACGCCCCAGCTCCTTTGGGACTTTTCTGAATGTGAGGCCTTCCCTGACCTCTGTATTTAAAATCAGCCCCCCTTCCACCCCTCACCCCAGCCTTCTAATTTCCCCCCATGTCTCTGTCTCAAACATGCACTATTCATTTTGTCTGCCTCCCTCCACTAAAATGTAAGGTCTGGATGGCAGAGATTTTGAGCTGTCTTGTTCCTTGCTGTATCCCCAGCATTTAATAGTATCTGGCATGTGGAGGTAGTAGCCTGATAAGTATTTGGATGATTGAGTGAGCGAATGTGCCTGGGCCACTTTCCCGGTGTCTCCTGGAGGCCTGAAGGGAGCAGCTCATTGCCCTTGACCTGCCCCCCCGCCCCGGGGGTCTGTGCTCCGTGCCCCTGCTGACTTTTCTTCTCTCTGGCTCCTTAGCCAGTGCTGCCCCACACCGCCGTGTGCCTCGTGTGTGGCGAGGCGGGGAAGGAAGACACGGTGGAAGAAGAGGAAGGCAAGTTTAACCTCATGCTCATGGAGTGCTCCATCTGCAATGAAATCATCCACCCCGGATGCCTTAAGGTGAGCAGCCCCGTGGGGACGGGTGTTGCTGATGCTGTGGGGCAGGTGGGGTTCCTGGAGATGCCGGTGAGGTGGTGGGATGCAGACAGTGAGGTGAATTCCTGGCAGACCCTGCGTCTGGGTGATCCTGTGTGTCAAGGGATAAGCTCAGGGCAAAGAGGGCCTGGAGCACCCCAGAGACCCAGTGTTATCAAATGAATAAACACACCCTCACCTCCCAGGCAGTCAGAACCAGAGAAGGTTCCCAGAGTCTCAGCGGACAGCAAACACAGGCTGCTTGGTTGCCGCTGGGCCAGAGGGAGAGCCTCCAGGTGGCCCCAGGCTTCTGGGAGAACAGGGTTCAACACCTGACTCCTTCCTTCCCCCAGCACCCAGTAGAGTGCTGTGCAAAGTCCTTTCTGCGTGCCAGGTCCTGAGCTGGTGGCTTTACCTGGGTCATACACCCCCCCCCCCAGTGAGATGGGCACACTAACGTTTATGGCCAAGGACACCAGCCCACAGAGATGGAGTGACTTGCCCCAGGTCCCAGAGAGGCAGAAGGGCGTAGCCTCTGAACCCTGGCTTGGATCCACAGTCACCCGTCTGTGCCAGCCTATGCGGCTGTTTTCTTTCGGCTGGAAACAGGATAGACGTGACATTGGGGAGGGGGTGCTGCTGTTTCTGGAAGATGTGACATCACAGAGCCTCATGCCCATGGGCCCCTTCTCCGCCTTGCCGTCTTCTGAGTTCTGGTGTTCTCTGCAGATTAAGGAGTCAGAGGGTGTGGTCAACGATGAGCTTCCAAACTGCTGGGAGTGTCCGAAGTGTAACCATGCCGGCAAGACCGGGAAAGTGAGTGCCGGGCTCCAAGTCCCAGGGTCAGCCTGGAGAGGGGCGGGCCTGGGCCTGGCAGGGACCAGCCTGTCCCAGGAGTGTGAGGCAGGTGGGGTACTGTGGACTTGGGGAGGAGGAAGGGCAAGTCCAAAGGTATACAGTTGGTCTCTTCCTTCCCTCTTTTTGGCCTACAAGCAAAAGCGTGGCCCTGGCTTTAAGTACGCCTCCAACCTGCCCGGCTCCCTGCTCAAGGAGCAGAAGATGAACCGGGACAACAAGGAAGGGCAGGAGCCTGCCAAGCGGAGGAGTGAGTGTGAGGAGGCACCCCGGCGCAGGTCGGACGAGCACCCCAAGAAGGCGCCCCCAGACGGCGTCCTGCGAAGGAAGTCTGACGATGTGCACCTGAGGAAGAAGCGGAAATACGAGAAGCCCCAGGAGCTGAGTGGACGCAAGCGGGTAAGGACCAGGAGGGGCTGGGAGGCGAAGTGGGTGGTCTGGCTGGTCCCGGGTGCTGGGTTGGAGGAACGGGGCAGGGGTGGGCAGCAGGTAGAGCTTGGGATAATCCCAGCCTCTTGCTGCCCTGAGCAGGTCACCTAAGTCCTGAGAGCCCTGCCCCAAAGAAAGGAGGGGAAACCCAGCGAGTCACTCCTCTTCCCACCCCCCCCTTTAGGCCTCATCGCTTCAAACGTCCCCCGGTTCCTCCTCTCACCTCTCGCCGAGGCCCCCTCTAGGCAGCAGCCTCAGCCCCTGGTGGAGATCCAGTCTCACTTACTTCCAGCAGCAGGTGCTCCCACGACGCACGCCCTCCTGAGGCCCTGGGGACTGGCGAGTCCCGAGCTGTCCCCCACCCCACCCCGCTGGTCCTCCACCCCACTGCTGCCTCTCCCAATGCTTCCCAGGCCTCGGCCCCAGATCTCTGGCTCTTGGTTCTGGCTGGAGGCCTGGGAAGCTGTCTGTGACAAGAGCCTCTGTTGGTTGGGATGGAAGCTGTGGGTCCAGGGAACCTTGGAGGAGCCCGGTGGTCCTGCTCTGCCCACCGCCGTGCTGTCAGTAGCCACAAGGTGGCGCCAGGAGTCTCTCCCAGCACTAGCCTTTCTGGCTGGGCCAGGGATGCCCACAGGCCTGTGTTCCAGAACTGACTCCCAGAGCCAAGGCTGATTTGAATGGGCGACTGCACATCTCTGGGTCTGTGGGGTGGGAGGTCAGTTGGGTGGGAACAATTCAACCATACTCCTACTTTCAGCTTTTTCGTTGAAAGCCACAGGCAGGGCACACCCGTCTGTTGGCCAGACGTGAAGGAGATGGCATTTGTGGGGAAGGTGTCCTTCTAGTCCCTCCTCTAGAGACTGTGGACTCGTGAGGTGGGGTGGAGTGGGGTGTCAGGGGGATCAAATCCCACGAGCCTGGGGAGCAAGCTTTTCGTCCTTTCTTTCCCATGACAGCTTAAACCTGGCAAAGAAGATAAGCTTTTCAGGAAAAAGGTACTGTCTTCCCCTCCCTCTTGTGCCCGAGCCGTCAGAGCTGCACGGCAGCTCCCTGGGCCACAGTCCTATGACGGGGGCGGGAGCCCTGGGGTGGGTGCAGCCCTGAGCCCCAGAGGCTGACCGCCCTCCCTCTCTGTTCTTGCCCTCAGCGGCGGTCCTGGAAGAACGCGGAGGACCGCATGGCACTGGCCAACAAGCCCCTCCGGCGCTTCAAGCAAGAACCCGAGGACGATCTGCCTGAGGCACCCCCCAAGACCAGGGAGAGCGACCACTCCCGCTCCAGCTCGCCCACTGCGGGACCCAGCACTGAGGGGGCTGAGGGCCCAGAGGAGAAGAAGAAGGTGAAGATACGCCGGAAGCGGCGGCTCCCCAACAAGGAGCTCAGCAGGGAGCTGAGCAAGGAGCTCAACCACGAGATCCAGAGAACGGAGAGCAGCCTGGCCAACGAGAACCAGCAGCCCATCAAGTCAGAGCCTGAGAGTGAGGGCGAGGAGCCCAGGCGGCCCCCGGGTGTCTGCGAGCGCCCCCACCGCTTCAGCAAGGGGCTCAACGGCACCCCCCGGGAGCTGCGGCACCAGTTGGGGCCTGGCCTGCGCAGCCCGCCCCGAGTCATCTCCCGGCCCCCGCCCTCTGTGTCCCCGCCCAAGTGTATCCAGATGGAGCGCCATGTGATCCGGCCACCCCCCATCAGCCCCCCGCCTGACTCACTGCCCCTGGATGACGGGGCAGCCCACGTCATGCACAGGGAGGTGTGGATGGCCGTCTTCAGCTACCTCAGCCACCAAGACCTGTGTGTCTGCATGCGGGTCTGCAGGACCTGGAACCGCTGGTGAGCAGCGGCCCGCGTTGGGCTCTAGGTTAAGGCTCAGGTGGCACCAGAGACAGCCTGTGTGTGTGGAGTCACTGGCGATGCTCTTTCCTTCCAAGCCCCTATACGGCTTCACTGTGCTCCACAAAGTGTTTCAGCTGGCTACGGCGGCGCCTCTGGTCTTGTCAGAGGAGGAGGTGACCCTGTTTGCTCCCTGATTTAGCTTCCTGGAGGGTGAAGCGAGGACCACCTGGAGTCCTTGACTTCCGAGAATTAGTCCAGGTTTCCAGCAAGGCTGCCAGTTGCAACTTGAGTCCCAGCTGATATTTACCAGCTTTCTGGCTGTAGCTCTGCCTTACCCTCTTGTGTGAACTGGCGTACGCCTGCGTCACGGGGTTGTTTGGAGGAACAGCTGGTAGAGGGCATTGCAAAGCCCATTGTAAATACTTGATGGAGGCTGGGCACAGTAGCTCAGGCCTGTAACCCAACATGTTGGGAGGCCAAGGCGGGGGATCACTTGAAGTCAGGAGTTCAAGACCAGCCTGGCCAAAATGGCGAAACCACGTTTCTACTAAAAATACAAAAATTAGCTGGGCATGTGGCACATACCTATAATCTCAGCTACATGGGAGGTTTGAACCTCGGAGAATTGCTTGAACCTGGGAGACGGAGGTTGTGGTGAGCAGAGATTGCACCACTACACTCCAGCCTGGGTGACAAAGCGAGACTCTGTCTCAGTAAGTAAATATTGTGGAGCGCGAGGACCATGGCTGTCAGAACAGAGGGGAGGTGCTGTGTGGGGGCAGGACGGATACTATACAGAGAAGGGTCTAGAGAGCTGAGTTAAGGAGCTGCCTCTAGAGGTTGGTAGGTGGGGAGAGTTATAGCTGTGCATGGGCTTCCCAGAGGAGCCCCAACTCTGATGATGTATCCCCACCGGGCCGGTCCCCAGGTGCTGTGATAAGCGGTTGTGGACCCGCATTGACCTGAACCACTGCAAGTCTATCACACCCCTGATGCTGAGCGGCATCATCCGGCGACAGCCCGTCTCCCTCGACCTCAGCTGGACCAATATCTCCAAGAAGCAGCTGAGCTGGCTCATCAACCGGCTGCCTGGTGAGCCCTGGGCCAAGGGCCCCGAGTGTGTCTGCTGCGATGGGTTCTGGGGGCGCATCCCCTGACCTGTGCCCCTTTCTGTGTTCCTTCCAGGGCTCCGGGACTTGGTGCTGTCGGGCTGCTCATGGATCGCAGTCTCTGCCCTTTGCAGCTCCAGTTGTCCACTGCTTCGGACCCTGGATGTTCAGTGGGTAGAGGGACTGAAGGATGCCCAGATGCGGGATCTCCTGTCCCCGCCCACAGATAACAGGCCAGGTGAGTTGCCAGGCTGGGGTTTTCTGTTTTTAGCCCCAGACCCCAGCATGTCCTCTATTCTTCTCCAGCCCCGGCCCTTCCCCAGAGGACATAGGGATGAGTCTCTGCTGTTGTGTTCTCAGTTTGCTTCAGGCACAGAGGGAATCTAGGAGGAGGCAGCCTCTCCTGTGCACATGTGATACTCCTCCTGGGGGCTCTGTGCGTCTAACTGCTTTTCTGTTGACTTGCCCCTCGTTGGTTTCCAGTCTCCACTGCCATCAGGATCCGTGTGGTTGCACGAGGGCTTCCAGGATGGCGCCTCCCCCCTGGGCTGGGCTGTCTAGGTCCGTCCTTCTTGCCAAACCACGGGGATCAGAGATGCGGTGCCACCTCTGCACTGGTTGGCTTGGTGACTCCCGGGTAGAGTGTGGGCCTAGTGTTTCTAGGTCTTTTAGTTTTTCAAGAGAATCTAGAAGTCTAAAGTTCGATGTGGAGTCTGATTTTTAACTGTTGGAATTCTGATTTTGGGAAGAAGCAGTTGATAACTAAATGAAATCTGAGTGTTCTGTCTGGCTGGTGGCCCTTTTAGAGTGTCATGTCAATGTGACTAAGCCTCCTAAGTCAGATTGACAGGTTGCCCCCTCCTTCCTGCCCCACCAGGTCAGATGGACAATCGGAGCAAGCTCCGGAACATCGTGGAGTTGCGCCTGGCAGGCCTGGACATCACGGACGCCTCCCTGCGGCTCATCATCCGCCACATGCCCCTGCTCTCTAAGCTCCATCTCAGTTACTGTAACCACGTCACCGACCAGTCCATCAACCTGCTCACCGCTGTCGGCACCACCACCCGAGACTCCTTAACCGAGATCAACCTGTCTGGTGAGTCAGGGGCCCCCGGCAGGTCTGCCCAACACTCTGTGGGAGAGCCAGGAGTTTCATGTTTGTGGAAAATGATTCGTGTGTCCACAAATATGTGGTCACAGTGTTAGGTGCTAGAATGTGTCAGTAAACGCGGCAGCCCAGTCCAGAGGGGAAACAATTTAAACAAAGAGTTACTGTTAGAGTTGTAATAATTGCTACCCCAAAAGAGTGCCGGGTAGCAGGCGGGAGCACACAGCAGTTGTTCCTGACCCAAAACACGGACAAGGGACAGCTTCCCAAGGGGGTGCAGAGGAGCCAGCAACTGACAACCAGGGTGTGGGGACGGCAAGGGCCGGGAGGCACTGGCCCTGGTGGGCAGGAGGGAACTTAGTTTCTGTCTTTGCCTTGCCGTTGTCACTCACATGCACCCCTTATGACCCTGCTATCAAGGGGCCTGTTGTTGGAGAGAAAAAGAAAACCCCACAGTTAGTTCCATTATTGTTCTGTGTCTGTGGCTTTTGTGGCAGAATCTTTACTTGCTCCGCTTGCTGGTGGGATGGGAGTTGGTTCTGAAGGACTTGGGGCTCCGCTGTGCACTGAGGTACACAGAGTGATACTGCCTGCTTTTAGCCCAACTAACCCGATTTTGGTGTGGTAGCTTAGGATGGTCTAGATTGGGGGGCTGTCGGGTTTGGGTGAGACCAAAAAAAGAGAAAAAGAAACTTAAGGGTTTTTTTTTTAACCTTCGGAAATTACCAAGTACTAAGGACACCCCTATTTCATCCTCCAATTAGATTTTGACACAGCACAGTGATGACACGCACGTTGTTTTCTTTTCTGCCACACACATTCATGCCTGATAACCTTTCTGTCCACCATGCCTCACAGCAGGGTCATGGGAGCTTTAGATGGGATGAGATCATTTCGGGACCTAGGAAGCCATTCCTTCTCCTCATGAAGTTTCGGTGGCAGGGATTGTCCTGCCTCATGGAGGCAAAGAACCAGAGTGAAGTAAGGCCTCTCCAGCTCCAGGCCCAAGTTATGGGCTTGAATTGGTGATGGGCTGCCCTTTGGAGAAGCCCGGGAGTCCTCTTACCCTAAGCGCTGATGTTTTATTAAATCTTTTCATTATAGCCTGGTTTAGTTATTATGCATGCACAGGAGATCTCAGTATAAATCCCCTCCTGCGGTGTGGTCCATGCTGTGTATATGTGTGTGCAAGTCATCTTCTACATTTTGTTTTTCCAGCATGATACAATGAGGTCATCTTTTCATCTCAGTGCATACAGCTCTCTGTATTCTCTTTCTTTTTTTTTTTTTTTTTTTTTTNTTTTTTTGAGACGGAGTCTTGCTCTACCGCCCAGGCTGGAGTGCAGTGGCATATCTCCATATCTCCACTCACTGCAACCTCCACCTCCCAGGTTCAAGCAATTCTCCTGCCTCAACCCTGCAAGTAGCTGGGATTCAGGCATCTGCCACCATGTCTGGCTAATATTTTATTTTAGGTAGAGATGGGGTTTCACCATGTTGGCCAGGCTGGCCTTGAACTCCTGACCTCAAGTGATCCACCTGCCTCGGCCTCCCAAAGTGCTGGGATTATAGGCATGAGCCACTGCACCTGGCCTGCATTCTTGTTAAGAGCTGTGAAATATACTAAGGTGTATCTCTAAAACCTAGACTCTGCTAGGTTTTCTTTAAAAAAAGTAATTCCCCTCATTGGTGTAACTAGTTGAGTTACTGGTAAAATAAGCTTGTCCTGATGCAAGCACCAGAAACGGGAAGATGTCTGTGCTACAAAATAGATGATGACATGCTTCGAGATCCTTAAACTTGGTTGGAGGATCTGGTCTCATGACAAGTGAAGTTGCAGTTCTAGCTGTTGTTCTGGCTGAATTCCATCTCAGAAATATTTACTGGGGGCTCAGGCAGCCCCTTGCCTTTCCCTTCTCCATCCCATCCTCACTACCTGAGGCAATGCCTTAAGTGAGTTCTTTCTTCAGTGTTTACCTCCACATTCAAAATAGCAAGCCTAGTGCCCGCTTGGGCAGCCCATATACTAACATCGGAACAATTCAGAGATTAGCATGGCCCCTGCGCAAGGATGACACACAAATTCGTGAAGTGTTCCATATTTTTAATTCAAAACAAAATTTAAAAGATAGCAAGCCTGCACTGCAATTTCTTGATTTTTCTATATGGACATGGTATATTTATTAGCTTGCTATTAATATAATATGAAGATTTATTACATTATATCCTTCCCCCCCTTTTTCTCCCTCCATCTTTTCCAGTTCTCCGTTGTCACTATTCTTTCACTTATTATGACCATGTTAAGTGTTGGTCACTGTTTAGCCAAATAGTGTATTATGAGTACATTTTCTTTCTTGCTCAATATTTTTGTTGTATAAGTGAATTGCCTCATTTTGTTTGCTTTGTTTCTATGCAAATGGTATACCACAATTGAATGTTCTCCCCTCCCCACCCCCAGCTCATCAGTCTCTTGACCAGTTTTGTAAAGAGACCTCCCTCCTGACTTCTTTTCCTCCCCTTCCGTTTTCTCCCCTGGGACTGGCCACCCCGACCTGCTGCACTGCTGCCATCCTGGACTCCTTTGGGCTCTGTCTTTTCCTAGGTACCCTCCTTCCTTATCTCCATCTTTTCTCTTGGTTTACCCTCACATTTGGTGAGAGACATTTTCTAGACCCTGTATGTCTGAATTTGTTTTTATTAAACCCTCCCATTTAGTTGCTAGTTCTGCTGGGTATAGAACCCTAGTCTGGGGGCCCTGCTGCTGCAGAAAGTGTGGGAGGTTTTGTTCCACCATCTTCTGCCTTCCAGAGGCAAGGTCCAAAACCATTTGATTCTTCATCTGTCAGTGAATCTATTTTCTCTCTTGGAAGTTAATAGAAAATTGGCTCTAGTTGTCTGTAATTTTTGATGACAAACTGGTTTGAGTCCATTTCACCCACCATAGAAGTCCTTCATTTTAGACATCTGTGTTCTTCAGTTGTAGAAAAAACTTCTTGAATTCTTTCTTAACTTCCTCCCCTCTGTTTTCTCCTTCTGGACTAGTCCTCTGATTCCTCTCTTCTCTCCTAGTTTCCATGTCGGTGTCTTTTTGCTATATTTTCTGGGAGTTTTCCCTTACTTTATCATACAGCTTATAGACTGAGTTTTTCATTTAAGCTGTTGTGCAGTTGAACCATGGGAAGCTGCTGTTTTTATAGGTCAAAAAAAGTAAAATGTTGGCAATTTCATGTGGTTCAACTTACATTTTTAATTTTCAAACTGTATTCTCTGAACTTTTTGTGGAATGACTTGTTTGGTGGAGCCAGATATTTCCCTACCTGAGGATGTTAATGATGGTTTCATTGTCTTCTCTGCACTGACTGTTCCCTTCAAATGCTGTCAGTTGCCTTGGGAAGAGGCTTTCCTCAGCTTGAGTGCTGATACTTGCTTGTCCACTCCACTCAAGGGTGATCAGAAACTCTGGGCATGCGGTTGGAGCTTGTCTGCTATGGACAACACTTACAGGATGGTTACTGTGGGTCATTTCTTGGGAGAAACCTGGCCATCGGATCTTTCCATCTTCCTCTTAAGCTGGTCAGGATTGCCAGACTCTCCTTGATCTCATAAGGGGATAGGCTGGCCCGCCATTGGTAGGGGAAGGAGGTTCTCAACAGTCAGCAAGTAAATTTCCTGCAGCCCCCACTTTTGAATGCGCACGCCTGCTGAATGTGCCTGCTGGAGCCCAGCTCATCAGAGACTAAAACCCCAGTCTTCTTCTGGGAAAGGAATCTGGACATCTTACTGCTCCTCGAACAGATTCTCAACTGGTCCTTCTCACTAACACCATCTTGCAATGTACCTGTCACTTCCAGTACAACATTAATTTCTAAGAAATCGCCACTAAATACCTTGGAGATGTTCTGTAGAATAATTATTCTTTTCTGCTTTCCCCTTAGCCACTTCAGGGTTAAGCCTTCTCAAGTCTCCCAAATTATTACCTCTTCTCCAGCTTCCAAAATTACAAAAATAATTATGTTTTAGTAAGATAATACATGATGTAAAATGGACCACCTTCGCCATTTTTGGGCATACAATTCAGTGGCATTAAGTACAGTCACAGTGTTTTGCAACTGTTACCAACATTCATCCCCAGACTTCTTTTCTGTTTTAGAGACAGGGTCTCACTGTGTTGCCCAGGCTGGTCTCAAACCCCTGGGCTCAAGCAGTCCTCCTGCGTAAGCCTCCCAACATGTTGGAATTATAGGCATGAGCCACTGCATCTGGCCTTTTTCCCCTTTTGTTGGCTGTGGTTTTGGTGTCATATCAATCATTGCAAAGTCTAATGTCATGAAGAATTTCTCGTGGTTTTTTTTTTTTTTTTTTNGTTTCACCATGTTGGTCAGGCTGGTCTTGAACTCCCGACCTCAGGTGATCCACCCACCTTGGCCTCCAAAGTGCTTGGATTACAGGCGTGAGCCAACACGCCCAGCCAAATTCTTGATATGTTAAGTTCCAACTATAGCTCCACAGCTGAAATATTTTTAAAATTCCAAGGGGAGGGTGGAAGGAGGAAGAGGAGCAGAAAAGATAATTATCGGGTACTGGACTTAATACCCTGGTGATGGGTCGGGCGTGGTGGCTCACACCTGTAATCCAGTACTTTGGGAGGCTAAGGCAGGTGGATCACCTGAGGTCAGGAGATTAAGACCAGCCTGGCAAAACCTTGTCTCCACAAAAAAATACAAAAATTGGCCGGGCATGGTGGCATGTGCTTGTAATCCTAGCTACTAAGGAGGTTGAGGCAGGAGAATCATTGAACCCAGGAGGTGGAGGTTGCCACAGGCCAAGATTGTGTCACCACACTCCAGCCTAGGTGACAGAGTGAGACTCCATCTCAAAAAAGAAAAACAAAACCATCTGGGTGCTGAAACAATATGCACAACAAACCCCTGTAACAGGTGCTTACCTGTGTAAAAAACCTTCACATGTATTCCCAAACCTAAAAGTTAAAAAAAATTCCAAAACATGGTAAAATGTTTATCTCACTGCCTATTTTCACTTTCCTTCTTTAGCATTTGTCCATCTGCAAAATATTTTTTACCCAGATATAATCATAGTGTACAAGTTGTATCATTTTCCCCTTTAACAATATGCCCATAACATTTCTTCATATGCTGTAGGGTATTTGTAATTTCTTTTTTTTTTTTTTTTTTTTTTGAGATGAAGTCTTGCTCTGTCACCGAGGCTTGAGTGCAATGGCACGATCTTGGCTCACTGTAGCTTCCGCCTCCTGGGTTCATGTGATTCCCGTGCCTCAGCCTCGAGTAGAGATAGGGTTTCACTGTGTTGGTCAGGCTGGTCTCGAACTCCTGACCTCAGGTGATCCCTCCGCCTTGGCCTCCCAAAGTGCTGGGATTACAGGCATGGGCCACCACACCCTGCCTTAATTTTTATATTGTTAGTAGAGATGGGGTTTCACCATGTTGACCAGGTTGGTCTCAAACTCCTGACCTCAAATGCTCCACCCACCTCGGCCTCCCAAAGTGCTGAGATTACAGGTGTGTGCCACTGCACCCAGCCTATGTTTGCTTGTAAAGAGCTTCAGCTTTACCTCTTATGTTTAGGTCTCAAATCATCTTCACTTAATTTTTTTATATGGTTGGTAGGGGTTCAGCTTATTTATTTTATTTTGAGATGGAGTTTTGCTCTTGTTGCCCATGTTGGAGTGCAATGGTGCAGTCTCGGCTCACTGCAACCCCTGTCTCCTGGGTTCAAGCAGTTCTCCTACCTCAGCCTCCTGAGCAGCTGTGATTACAGGCATGAGCCACCACGACTGGCTCATTTTGTATTTTTAGTAGAAATGGGGTTCTACCATGTTGATCAGGCTGGTCTTGAACTCCCAACCTCAGGTCATCCATCCATCCATCCACCTCAGCCTCCCAAAGTGTTGGAATTAGAGGCATGAGCCACTGCACCCAGGATCTTTTTTTTTTTGAGACAGAGTCTCACTCTGTCTCCTAGGCTGGAGTGCAGTGGTGTGATCTCGGCTCACTGCAACCTCCGCCTCCCATGTTCAAGTGATTCTTCTGCCTCGGCCTCCCACGTAGCTGCGACTAGAGGCACACGCCACCACACCTGGGTAATTTTTGTATTTTTAGTAGAGACAGGGTTTCACCATATTGGCCAGGCTGGTCTGGAACTTCTGACCTTGTGATCCACCCATCTCAGCCTCCCAAAGTTCTGGGATTATAGGCATGAACCACCACACCTGGTCAGGTCTTTTATTCTTTTGCATGTTGAAATCCAATTTTCCCAGCAACAGTTATTGAAAAGATATCTATTACTTCACTGAATGCTGTCGGCACCCTTGTCAAATATCACTTGACCATATATTTGAGGATTTGTTTCTGCGCTCTGATTCTTGTTTTTTGAAACAGACTCTCGCTCTGTCACCCTGGCTAGAGTGCAGTGGCATGATCTTGGCTCACTGCAACCTCTGCCTCCCGGGTTCACACGATTCTCCTGCCTTAGCCTCCTGAGTAGCTCAGAATACAGGCACACACCACCACACCATGTTGGCCAGGAGGCTGGTCTTGCACTCCTGACCTCAGCTGATCCACCCATCTCGGCCTCCCAAAGTGCTGGGATTACAGGCGTGAGCCACCACACTTGGCCGAGCTCTTGATTCTACTGCATTGGTCTATATGTCTATCTGCATGCTTGTACCATGCTTTATTTATGAGTGAATGAATGACGGGCTTACTCTGTCCTCCAGGCTGAAGTGCAGTGGTGTGATCATGGCTCACTGCAGGCTCTAGCTCCCAAGCTCAAGTGATCCTCCCACCTCAGCCTCCCAAGTAGTTGGGACTAGAGGTGCAGACCACCATGTTTGGCTAATATTGGTGTTTTTTTGTATGTGGCTTTTTGGTTTTTTTTTTGTTTGTTTGTTTGTTTTTTGAGACAGAGTCTTACTCTGTTGCCCAGGCTGGAGTGCAGTGGCATGATTTCAGCTCACCACAACCTCTGCCTCCCAGGTTCAAGCGATTCTCTTGCCTCATCCTCCTGAGTAGCTGCAATTACAGGGGCCTGCCACCCTGCCTGGCTAATTTTTGTATGTTTAGTAGAGATGAGGTTTCACCATGTTGGCCAGACTGGTCTCCAGCTCCTGACCTCAGGTGATCCACCTGCCTTGGCCTCCTGTAGTGCTGGAATTACAGGTGTCAGCCACTGTGCCTGGCCTGTGTTGGTGTTTTTTATAGAGATGGGGTTTCACTACGTTGCTCAGGCTGGTCTTGAATGCCTAGGCTCTAGTGATACACCCACCTCAGCTTCCCAAAGTGCTGGTCTTACAGGCATGAGTCATCGTGCCTGGCCTATGTATTTTATTTGGATACGGGGTCTCACTCTGTTGCTCAGGCTAGAATCATACTCCTGGGCCCAAGTGATCTTCCACCTCAGCTTCAGACTAGCCCAAGTTTTTCAACTTTGTTCTTTTCTTAGATTGTTTGGACAACTTGGGGTCCCATGCATTCACATGAATTTTAGGATAGATTTCTGTAGACTTCTTTAGGTAGTGCTGACATCTTAATAGTATTAAGTCTTCCAATCCACGAACATAGGATGACTTTACATTTATGTCTAGTTTCTTTCAGCAATACTTTATAGTCTTCAAAGTACAAGTCTTTCCCTTCCTTGAAGCAAGGCATAATGGCACACACTTTTAGTCCCAGCTACTCAAGAAGGTGATCACTTGAGTCTGGGAATTCTAGACCAGCCTGGGCAAAGTAGTGCGATTCCAGATCTAAAGTGTTTAAAGGCCGAGGGAGAAATGATGAGGATGTTAATAAAAGTGATGTTCCCCCGTAGGCTGGCGGGCTGGCAGGTAGGCCTCCTGCACCAGCAGGAAACATCTGTCAGCCTGTGTGTAGAGGGTCTAAGAAACCAGGCTGGAGTCAACTCCAGAGGGACCAAAGGAAAGTATTTTCCATCTAACTTCTTTGATGGGAAGGGTCCTTAAGCTCCAGTTTTGGGGAATATTTGAACCACAAGCCAGGAAGAATGCTGGCTGGGCACGAGTGAGCCTCCAAAGAGGGCCCAAATTAGTACTCAAAGACAACTCAGAAAAGGAGGCAGCTGGGCCTCCAGGTCTCACTTCACACCGAGTGCTGCCTTACCACCAACAGGTAAGTGCCAGGATGCACTTGAGGCCCCCTCAGCTGTCTGACAGCTGCAGGGCACAGCAGTGTGCCAGCCAGATGGCAGACTTCTCTGGCATGGGAGCTGCCTGCTCTAGCGCTTGAAGGTGCCAAGGGAGAGGCAGGACTTGGGTCAGTCCCTTCTAGCCAGGAACTAGGCAAACATTACAGGGGAAAAATATCCCTGAGCTGGTGATGGAGTGGGGGCAGTATAGCTGGATCTGAGTATGGAATGAGATGCATTCTGGGGATGAGCTAGACAGTGCTCTGGAAGGCTGCAACAGGGTCAAGCTGGAAGATTCTGAGGGTGATTTCTTGCTAAAAATGTCTAACCTGAAACTAAGCAAGTCTCTGGGCCTAATCTGCAGTTTATAGGAAAAACAGGAGATAAGGAACAAGCTAAATGACAGTGTGAAGACAGACAAGTGTGAATGTGGAACATCCTCTGAGAAAATCATCCTGGCTGGAGGGGCTCAATGCCTATAAGCCCAGTGCTTTGGGAGGCTGAGTGGGGAGGATTACTTGAGACCAGGAGTTCAAATCTAGCCTAGTCAACATGTCATAGTAAATAGTAAAAAATGAAAACAAAAGTATATGGAAATAAGCTTGTTATATTGGTAAAATCCCTATTCTTTATACTTAAAATGAATCAAGTATTCAGTTTTGGGGATCTTGAGTTTCCCAAAGGAATTATATGATAGCATTTTACAACATCCTTCATCATTGGATTTTGCAGTAAGATTATGAAGAGGGTCAGCCATTTGTGGGATGGGGGAACTACTTGAGGGATTAATTAGAAGATAAAGGGATGCCCTTGGGGAAACAGAGTTGTCTGTTGAAGCATCTGTCAGCATTGTCCGGTTTTCCCATCCTTAGTCTAAAAGCAAATTTCACTTGTGAATGTGTGTAGACAGCTTTCCAGCACCACTGCTCCACATTCGTGAATTGGTTAGCATCTGTGTGAAGATTCTGTGCTGATGTGAGGACACTGTCTGAAAAGACTGACTATATAAAGGAAGTCGGTTTGGCGGCTCATGTGGTACCCTGACTTGACTTCTTTCCTCCGCCTGCACACCTGCAGGGACTCTGGTAACATGTAGGTGGCATAGGCTTTGTGTACACAATTGTGGTTTGCCCTTAGTGTTTTTATTCCCACTCAATTTAATAGAGAAATGAAAGTGCTGATACTAAGGATAATTAGCAAAGATCACAAATGTAATATCATTGAGGCCAGGCACAGTAGCTCAAGCCTGTAATTCCAGAACTTTGGGAGGCTGAGGCAGGCAGATCACTTGAGGTCAGGAGTTTGAGGCCAGCCTGGACAGTATGATGGAACCCAGTTTCTACTAAAAATATAACAAAAAATAAAAAATGAGCCAGGCATGGTGGCACTCACCTGTAATCCCAGCTACTCAGGAGGCTGAGGCAGGATAATCGCTTGAACCCAGGAGGCGGAGGTTGCAGTGAGTTGGGATTGCACCATTGCACTCCAGCCTTGGTGACAAGAGTGAGACTCCGTCTCACAAACAAAACAAAAGCACAGTCAAAGGGTGCGTCTGCAGATAAAGGTGTGATGAAGTCTGAATTCTGCTTTTGCTAGAAGGGCATGTTGATCTGGTGCCTAGGCTGTTGCACACTGTCAGTCCTTGGGTTAGGGTCAAACAGCTGTCCCTCATGCTGTGAATTGCTCCAAAGCACTGGGGCCTGCCAGAGCAAAAATGATCCCAAGATGCCCTTAGGGCTGTTCCTTCTGTGACCCAGTGGTGCCCCTCTGGGAATTTATCTGAAGGGAAGAGGCAGATAAATGCACAATAACACACATAGAGCAGTACTCATCAACAATATATTAGATGAAAAAAGCCTTTGAGTTGTATAGTGGAGTAGTGTTTGTGTGAGCCTATCATTGTAAAAGCACATAGAACTACTTCCATGAGCCTACATCTGTATGTATATATGCTGTGTGGTGAGATTAGAAGTGATTTTCACTCACTTGGTTATCTGAATGCTTTTATATTAACCTTTATACCTGGTGGGTGAAACCCTTCCCCATTTGAAGAAGAGAGATTTTAAGGAAATAACATTTAGCATAGCACATTAGAGGCTGGAATATGTAGAGCTCTGACATGTCCCCAATGCTGAGTGCCTGGTCTGGGGGGCCTTCCGGCTCCTGGCCCTCATACGTCACCATTACGTCTTCCCTGCAGACTGCAATAAGGTCACTGATCAGTGCCTGTCCTTCTTCAAACGCTGTGGAAACATCTGTCATATTGACCTGAGGTACTGCAAGCAAGTCACCAAGGAAGGCTGTGAGCAGTTCATAGCCGAGATGTCTGTGAGTGTCCAGTTTGGGCAAGTGGAAGAAAAACTCCTGCAAAAACTGAGTTAGTCCAAGGACAAGTATGTAAATATGGGGTGGGCTCTGGGAGGGGGAAAGACTTTACAAAAATGAGGGCTTTTATTTTCCACTTGGAACTTGGGACAACAGACCACAAAGCAATTCCATTTTGCAAGTCTTTCCAAGGGAGAAGCTGTTCAACCACCCGTTTGGGGGATGTGTGAGCCGACACTTTCCTTTGCTCTAAGTCGTAACTGCACTGCTTTCTGGACCATTTCTAAGGTGGCTTTTATAAGAAGACATTCCCGTCGGAGAGGAGGGTGGACTGTGGAGAAATTCTCATACTGAAGCGTGAGCTTAGGAGTTTCTGTTGGTGGTGGTGGTGGTGTTTTGAACACTTCATTCCTTGCAACTCTGAGGTTTTGGGTGTTGACATCAAGTGGACCACACACCACATCTGCTGCCGTCTTGACACACTTTTTGTTTGGTTTTGTTACATCTTACATTATGCAGAACTATTTTTGTACAAATTGTTTAAAAGTTATTTATGCAAGGTTTGAATGCATACCAGTGTTTTTATTGTTTTGAGATTGCCAATTTTCCTGATTTCCTTAAGGTAGGAGAGAACTTAACATGTACTTCATTGACACAACCCATCTACGAATGTGCCCAGATCTAACAAAGCAGGCTAAGACCTTCCAGTTAAAAGCATGTTTAATTGGAAGTTGAGAGCCTGCTTTGTACCTCAAGAGTTTCATGAGCATGTTGTGGATAAATGTAAATTATAGTCGAAGTAAGATACTTTGCCAAGTTTCCTCTGTAGAGAATTCACTTTTCTCAAATTTTAAAATTTCGACTTCAGCCTTTGCACTCAGGAGGGTCTGCTCCAGCATGAGCTCTTGTACTTACATAGATCTAATTTATACAGTGAGTCAAGACGTAGAATAAATTCTCCCACATAGCCTTTCTTTTCGTTTTTTCTCTCCTCTGAAGTGTGGGTTGAGTTCTCATTTAGGTTTGTAACATGGCTATTTCCTAGTTGTAAGGTTCTGCATTTATAAGTGCCATTGTTGTAAGGTGGTGTTTCCTAGACCTTCCCTGATTCGATTTTACCTTTGTTGAGTTTGTATAAACAATTGTACAAAAAAAAAAACAAAACACTCTTGAACTTGGAGGGTTTTTGTTCTAGGAATAGACTAGAAGTTTAAGCCCAGAGTCAGTAAACACTCTTTTGAGGCCCAAACAATGTAATTTCTGATTCACCTGAGAAATGCAGCAGCCCTGTGGTATATCATTTTTCTTCTTCAGAAAGATATCTGTTTCTGGCTAATAAAGGTAATGGGGAAAGAACCATGCTCTGACAACAGCCACAGGTAGGAATTAGACACAGACTTCTTTAAGAAGAGTTGTTCATCTGTCTATGTGCCTCTTACCACACAAAATTACTTCCACGGCTACTTTGCCATTACCTTTGCCTAAAAGTTCCCCAGATTTGGGGTACAGTGGGAGCAACCTCAGGAGGCTGCATCCTGTACAGGTAACCTTGGGCCATGGTGGCTGTAGGAAACACTTGGTCATGAGGTGGCTTCCCCAAGCGGCAGATGCAGAAACGAGAAATAATTTTATATTACAGAATTTTTTTTTCAAGACAGGACCCTGCTGGCAATGTCATACTCACATACAGAAACAACTGCTCTAGTGAAGCTGAAGATGGAGAAGGTTAACCAACTTACTTCCTCAGTGATTAAGAGCAATGTAAGACTTTGGCGCTGTGGAACAAGCCTTTCCTGCTGGTGGCCAAGTTTTATATTTGTACCTTTTATTTTTGCCATGGCAAAACTGTTTTAATTAAAATGAGACAGGCCAGATGGAGTGGATCTAGCACTTTGGGAAGCCAAAGCGCGGGTGGGTCACCTGAGGTCAGGAGTTTGACACCAGCCTAACATGGTGAAACCCCATCTCTACTAAAATTACAAAAATTAGCCAGCAGTAGTGGTACACACCTGTAGTCCCAGCTACCTAGGAGGCTGAGGCAAAACTGCTTGAACCCAGGAGGTGGAGGTTGCAGTGAGCTCAGATGGTGCCACTGAATTCCAGCCTGGCAACAGAGCAAGACTCCATGTCGATTTAAAAA